GCAGCACTTTGTCACCATGGCTGCTCCAGGAATGTGGATGCAAGGGAGATGGACAGGAGACCTCAGGGTAGTTTACTGCACTTGGAGAGGTTCAGCAAGCCCCGGGGAGGTGTCACTCTGTACAGCAACACGGTGTCTTACCCCTGCTTGTAGCAGAGTCTCCTGCAGATGCCTGGGTACAGGACCAGGAGGGGCAGCTCCAGCCCAGCCCTGCAGCCCGGGCAGGCAAGCCCGGGCACCCCCAGTGCCATAGCTGCAGAGATTAGCACTGCCCAAACGTGTCTGTACCGGGAGGCTGTGCTGGCTCTGTGTCTGCCAGGAAAGGGTTTGCTCCTGGGGTCACTCCTGGGTAAAGCTTGCAGCTCCTTTGTCGGTATTTCCTACAATAATGACTGCTGCCATCCATCTCTGTGGGCTGTAGCTGCACTTGGTTTTGAGGGTCTGTGAGGTGCAGGATCTCAAAGCCATCTGGTTTCACCTGGAGCACATATGCTTCAAGGTTTGGTTAAAGTCAGACCAAGCCAACAGTGCACATGATGCGTGTGGAAAACTTTCTGGTGCCACTTACGGCTCTCGTGTTTGCAGGACATCAGGAGAATAAACAGCCTGGCAAAGCGTGATGTCCGGGTAAAGCAGCCTGGAGACACCCCTGGAGACACCAAGGTAGACATGGAGCTGCTTCGAACACTGGTGCATCCTCTGAGCTAGGGGCAGAGCCGGGACCTGCCCGCTGGCCCATCACCCACAGGGTGTGGGAGAACCAGGCTATGGGGGGAGAGGGGTTGTGTGGGACAGCCGGGACCCCGTGACGTGGGGGGGACAGCAGGAGGGGACAGCTGGAGGCAGCTGTGAGGGTGAGAAGGGGTCTGGTCTGGGAGAGGAAGGGAAGTGGCACGTGGTGGGGTTTAGGGGATGCCTGCCTGCCCCATCCCCTGCTCAGGGCAAGTATGGCCCTGGATAAAGTGTCTGCCTTTGGGGGTTGGCAGCCTCAGGCCCAGCCTCACTGTTTCTCACTTTCTTTTCCAGTTGTAATAAGATCAGTTCTAACAATATCAGACGATCTGGGAAAAACTGTTCTGCTCTGAAGATCAAAGCCCAGCCCTACCCAACCATCCAGCAGCACACTGCCATGAGAGGCCCCTGCACCATGTGTAGGTGCACCCCAGGTTGCCGGGGTCCTCCGCTTGTGGGATGGGAAGGAAGAAGGTTGGAAGACTATCCCTGCACCCCCAGCCTGCACCCGCTGCCTGCCTGGGAGCACCCAGGCCTGGAGACTCCTTGAAAATGCTGAAGGCAGACTCTTGCCTCGTTTCCCCAGAACGTTTTGGTGTTTTGCTCCTAATCTCTGGCTTTGCCCCATAACTGCTTGCGAAGAGGATCAGCCTATACGTCTCCTTTGCAGCCAGATCATGTCAATGGGGCAAGAAGGTGTCTGGTCAAGGGAGTTATTCAGCTGCACATCCATGGACTGTGTCCATCCATGCTGCCTGGCTCGTGTGGGGTGAGGTGGATCAGGCAGATATCACCCCCCGCTTCCCAGGCTGTCACTGCTGGAGGGAGCCAGCCAAAGGCAAATGATGTTTGCAAAGTGACACATACACCAGTGTAGCTTGGAGATGCCTCACGGAACAAGGGTGGACCTGATGACCCTGGCACTTCCTTCCAGCACACAGCTGAGCCAGAGCCAGAGACTTGGCCTTCACCCTGCTCTTACCATCCCCTGCCCCCTACAAGCAGTGACCCCTTTCACTCAGTGATACAGGAGTGGGCTGGCCACGGCCCTGTTTTCGGGGTTGCATGGAGCTGAGCGCCCTGTGCTGGGCCCTTTCTGCAAACTCTGTTTCCCTCTCACCCTTCCTCCTGCGCCCTTCGCCCGTGGCTGGGCAGACCCCTGCTCCTGCACTCCCTGCGCTGCTGAGCCCACCCAGCAGGGAAAGGGTGTGCTCTCTTCTGCCCAGCTTTAGGGTGCCGTGGGCAACCCATAAAATGATGCTCACATCCTTGTACCGGAGCCACCCAACGGGCTAGGGCGGTGCCTTGAGCAACCATGGTGATGCCCAAATTCGGTGTGGGACGCTGCTGCTGCCCCTGGATCTGATCTCGCTTGCTGGGCTTTGGACAGGACTTGGTGTTCTCTGTGCCTGTCTTTTTTTCTCCTAATAAAAGTTGCTCTTTCTAAGACGCTCCCGGTCACCTGCTCCTGGGCTGGGACTGGGAACAGTTCCCTTTCCTCCTCCTGGCGAGAGGGAAAAAGCCAAAAACCTGAAACAAATGTGTCCTTGGCGGGGGGAAAAGCAGCCCGAGACTCTTCCCTTCTCATTACAGCATCTCGGGCTTGGTGCAGCAGCGGAGTGAGCGCGGGTCGGGGGCTGCGGTGGCGGGTCCAGCCCTCCGCTCACGGCAGCGCTGCCTTATCAGCGTCCCCAGCCCCAGAAAGTGACAGCTGGCTGGCTTGTGTTAGCCCCCCCGGGA